GTAGGGAGTTTAAGATACGGCGACTACGGACTACGACTACGGTTAAACATGCTACTGCGCATGATCAAAACCACGTGGCTCTTCATTTTTCCCCGCGTAGTCCTGCGGCTACGGTGAGTTGTTGAGCTGTTTCGCGTAGTCCGGACTACGGAGAACGTTTTGCTCGTATTTTGCCGTCTCGGTAATTCAAGAATCTCGTCTTTTCGTAAAAAAGTTTTCAATTCACCTGCTTTAAGTGAGAGGGAAGCGAAATATGTAAGTTGTGTCTAATTTCTGCTCAGATTTACGCTTTTAATCCACTGTTGTGACTACATTTTTCTCAAGCTAAGCTCATATTTAAATAAGCTTAGCTGTTTATACGTAGAATTCAGATTGACGGCATAGGAGAAGAGAAATCATGCAGGTAATTTACTTTCTCTTCGCACTTGAAATGTTTCAATGTTTGTTCGAACTGATTAGTGTGTCTTTCTACTTGTGTAACCTTTGTTTATGCGAGTTTTTGTATCGCGCCATTTGCTGAATGAGAATGATGTAAACATCTTCGAGACAATCGAAACTCGGCATTTCAATACTTCAAACTACATCAGATCAGTAGTCGGAGAAGTCCATCTTCTAAATCTAATAAATGAAATATTACTATTTCTGTCTATTTCTTTAATATTTGACATTATTCATGGGCGAAAAAATATATAAAACCTGTGTAACCAAAACTTTGTTTACCAATTTCACCCGACGTAATTGCTTCCTTCAAGTATGGAAGAATTTGTTCATTGTTCTAAAGATAAGATCACATCCAAAACTGACTTGCATTTTTGTGAACTGTGATGAAACAAGAAAATCTTTGCGTGTTGCTTCCCTCTCCGCCTCTTCTCTCGAAGTCTACTGTCTGTAGTGCAATGTTAACGTGCTATATTTGCACGACTCAACCCAGTGCTACAAACAAAGGACAACGCTCGTCCAGCCGTAGTTCGTAGTCCGTAGTCTCCGTATCTTATACTCCCTAGTAATAAAACATGGCTACGGGGCTGAAGATTTAACAAACACTTTAGCGTCTACTTTTTATATAAGGTTAAGGTTTTTGCTATCAGGGTTTTTGTTACAACATTACCTGTGCAATTAAAGCCATTTCCAAAATATCCTGGTTTGCATGTACAATTGTAAGAGCCTTTAGTGTTGTTACAGAAAGCATGCGAGTCACACTGATGCTTTCCTGTGTCACACTCGTGTATGTCTGCAAAATAGTAAATAAAATGCATTTAGAATAATCTAATTTTTACTGAATGATTCCTTCAATCGTCTGTTAAAATCTTTCGTAGAAAATCATTTTGATGATTGCCGTTTTCTTTGATTGCGTGCCACAATAATTTAAGTGACTAAGCCAGACGACACACCACTTCATGGAAAACTAAGGGTTTGTTCGTTATGTCCTTCCCTACCGACCCACAAAAGGAAAATGTGTTTTCTCTGTGTACCTCCTTTATTAATCCCCAGATGAACGTTAATGTCCATAAGCAGCCTAAAATATCATTCATCTCCACCCCATAACCCGTAAAGGGCGTGGGGGAGAGAAACGCGCCACCCACGGATAGGGGGTGGAGACGTGTGACATTTCAGACTAGGCCATACGCAGTTTTCCTGGCAACGCAGGCTTATTAGGTGCATACAAAAAAATTAACGATCTCGTCTGATTTTCACACTCACTGAATTGAAATTCCAGAAGCGTGGATAACCACGATCAGACATCTACTACACAGCTGCAGATTAGTACCACTGCGGACCGCATGGTTGATGGAAAACCCACCAACCATAAATGAGGCTCGTAATGCTAGTCACTAGCAACTACGGCGGAACCATTACACAACCCACATTCGACACAATCGCCTTATGAAGACCAGAAGTGCGCAGTTTGAAACGTCGTCAATGAATAACTAAGTAACGACTATCGCGAGATAAACGATAAACTAATCTGCGAGCTGGCTCACTTGTGCGAATTTGGGGTTGTCTTAGCTGTGGAACCATTAGCGCTACCTGGAAAGAAGAATGGGACGAGGAAAAGCGAGCCTGCAGACGAGCTAAGTTTCTATTTTTAATTTCGCCCCTAAAGAGATTTCAAGTACTATCTAAGAGGAACAAACCAAAAATTTTAACAAAAATGACAGAAAGTTGCATTAGGAGATTTTGCGGCAGATAGCAAAAAGACACCGTTATGACGACATCATAATGGGATTTTATGGCAAGGCATTTGATAATGGTTTCCAGGCCAAGGCGGCAGGTTCCAAGCCTATCTTATTTCCAGCCAATCAGAATTTAGGGCGTTCCGGACTATATCATTCTTAGGCGCGCTTTTCCATGTGCTCGCCCCCTTTCGATCGCTCGCCATCACGTTGTTCACATCGCTGGTTTGAACCAGTTTTCAGCATTTTTTAGGCAAGTACCCTCTTTTCCTTTTATCTTTCCTGTGATTCAATGGCTGAGCCCCGTGTTTTAGTTCTTGGCGATTCTTTTATTCGCCGTTTGCGCCTTTTCCTGTCCCGTGATTCTTACCACTTTAGCGTTGATTTCAAGTTATCTCACCGTGCCTTTTTAAAATGGCACGGATTCGGTGGCCGTACGGTTTCCAAAACGCTACATCTTGACTTGAATGGTATTGAGTCCTTTCGACCGGAGATAGTTATAATGCAGTTGGGTTCCAATGATCTAACAGACTCTGACAGGAGCCCATCACTCTGACCCTTTACATGTTGGCTCAGCTATTGAAGATTTTGTTAGGCTCTTGCATGACACCTATGGTGTTAAGGTTGTGTGCGTGTGCCAGACCATCATGCGCCAGGGCGCAGTGGTCTTTAATCGTAAGGCCAAGCTGTTAACGAAATACCGTCGGGTAGTTTTAGAGACTATACTTTATGCTATCTTTTGGGGCCATAGGGGGTTTTGGCGCCCGACTCAGAACTTTTACGCACGTGATAGTGTGCATCTTAATTCCTTCGGTAAGGAAAAATACCATCGTAGTCTTAGGGGAGCAATCCTAAGGTCCTTGAGCCTGTTCAGCACAATTTCGTCTTGTTGAATTCTCAACGTTTCCTTTCATTTCCCAGTTGAGCCTTTTGAAGTTTACGTACTTGCCTCGCCATGCCTTTGCTTTAGTGACAGCCGTTTATGTTACTGACTTGCCGCCTTTATTTCATTGGGCGCATTCTAATTTGGCTGCACTCATTGTTCTTACAGTTCTACAGGACTGTTGTTTGCCTTCCGTGCATAACAGATTGTATTTGCTGGCGTTGGCATTATCCATACTTTGTGTCCTGGTGAATATTATGAGTGTGCAATCCCATTCGACCGCCCTTTTTTGGGTGTGTCCTCAATTCACTTTGATATTCTTTCAGTTTACCGGGCATTTATGTCACTTAATTCTTGCTACATGGCTCGCCATTTGGTTTTCACCAGAATTCGGTTATTCGTCACCATTATGTGTGCGTAGCTTAGCCACATTACGGTTTGTTAAACAAAAAACAAACAAAAAAACAAAACTCAAAGGAAAAATAAACATCCCGGCTCAGACCTTTAATTAGTTTGCTCCTCTTTGACTCATACCGTTTTGATATCTTATCTTATCTTAGCGGAAACATATGGCGTTTAGCCTTATCTTAATCTAATTACTTTTACTTGTATATCTAAGTTATGCCTCCTAAGCCGAAGCGAACGTCTCAAACACGTACGCGAAGTTCTGCAAAGCAGGCTCGTGTAACAGAACTGATCGAAACCCGCCCTGGACCGAGTGATCAACAACATCCCGCAACTTCAACAGAGCAGCGTCTCATGGCCGTCAACATGCAGGCCCTCTCGGCCTCCATTTCTAGCGCAGTGCAGCTAGCTGTCGCGGAGGCAATGAAAGCGCAATGGCCAGCCGCACCCAGCCAGGAAACACAGTCCTCCACGGACCAGTCAGTGGCCAATATAGTGAACGCATCCTTGGCCGAGATCACCCAAGGTACTCCATCACGTGGCGAAAACGTTGTCACCTTAGCTGAGCCTGGGTTAGACTCGCCGGCTCCGAAACAAAGTTTTTTCTAGCGTGGCTGTTTCTCTTAGCAGTCGGGTGAGTTCCAAAGTCAAGGCCAAAATCTGGTCCAACGAATATCTTGATTTTGGAACCCTCCCCTCGTTTTCTCCCAATAATCAAAAGTATTCTCTGTCTCTCGCCTCTTCGGATGGTGAGACCACCCGCCCTCACTTAACTTTAGAACCTAGCCAACCAGCTAAAAAGATCCAAACTATCAACTAGTGGCTCTCTGCATTTAATATTTTTGTTGCGATCTATTCGGAAAAACTACCCACGGACACACCCAAGCTGATGAAAAATTAAGAAATTGTCCGCGATATCGCCTCAAAACCAGGCGACTGGTTGTATTATGACGAAAAATGTCGTTTCATAAGGCAATCAGCCCCTGCACAATACCCATGGGACGCTATTCACTGGGAACTTTGGCTAAAGGCTGTGACAAATTTTCGTCCGAAAACCCAATTTTCCTCGGACTTTGTTCTTACAGTTCTACAGGACTGTTGTTTGCCTTCCGTGCATAACAGATTGTATTTGCTGGCGTTGGCATTATCCATACTTTGTGTCCTGGTGAATATTATGAGTGTGCAATCCCATTCGACCGCCCTTTTTTGGGTGTGTCCTCAATTCACTTTGATATTCTTTCAGTTTACCGGGCATTTATGTCACTTAATTCTTGCTACATGGCTCGCCATTTGGTTTTCACCAGAATTCGGTTATTCGTCACCATTATGTGTGCGTAGCTTAGCCACATTACGGTTTGTTAAACAAAAAACAAACAAAAAAACAAAACTCAAAGGAAAAATAAACATCCCGGCTCAGACCTTTAATTAGTTTGCTCCTCTTTGACTCATACCGTTTTGATATCTTATCTTATCTTAGCGGAAACATATGGCATTTAGCCTTATCTTAGTCTAATTACTTTTACTTGTATATCTAAGTTATGCCTCCTAAGCCGAAGCGAACGTCTCAAACACGTACGCGAAGTTCTGCAAAGCGGGCACGTGTAACAGAACTGATCGAAACCCGCCCTGGACCGAGTGATCAACAACATCCCGCAACTTCAACAGAGCAGCGTCTCCTGGCCGTCAACATGCAGGCCCCCTCGGCCTACATTTCTAGCGCAGTGCAGCTAGCTGTCGCGGAGGCAATGAAAGCGCAATGGCCAGCCGCACCCAGCCAGGAGACACAGTCCTCCACGGACCAGTCAGTGGCCAATATAGTGAACGCATCCTTGGCCGAGATCACCCAAGGTACTCCATCACGTAGCGAAAACGTTGTCACCTTAGCTGAGCCTGGGTTAGACTCGCCGGCTCCGAAACAAAGTTTTTCTAGCGTGGCTGTTTCTCTTAGCAGTCGGGTGAGTTCCAAAGTCAAGGCCAAAATCTGGTCCAACGAATATCTTGATTTTGGAACCCTCCTCTCGTTTTCTCCCAATAATCAAAAGTATTCTCTGTCTCTCGCCTCTTCGGATTGTGAGACCACCCGCCCTCACTTAACTTTAGAACCTAGCCAACCAGCTAAAAAGATCCAAACTATCAACTAGTGGCTCCCTGCATTTAATATTTTTGTTGCGATCTATTCGGAAAAACTACCCACGGACACACCCAAGCTGATGAAATTTTGTGAAATTGTCCGCGATATCGCCTCAAAACCAGGCGACTGGATGTATTATGACGAAAAATGTCGTTTCATAAGGCAATCAGCCCCTGCACAATACCCATGGGACGCTATTCACTGGGAACTTTGGCTAAAGGCTGTGACAAATTTTCGTCCGAAAACCCAATTTTCCTCGGACAAGGGACCACTGCGCTCCCGCTCCCAGTCCTTTCCAAGAGGCACATGCTGGCGTTTCCATGCGGGGAAGGTGTGCAATGGGTGCCGTTTCGAACACATTTGCTACAAGTGTGGCTCAAAACACCCTGCCGCACAGTGTTCCTCCAGCCAACCTAAAACACACCCCGTCAAAGTAGGCATTTCAATAGTCGCTGCACAAGCCAGTAACACCCGTAAAGGTGGGTCGGCTTAATTTCCTTCTTAGCGGATACGAAACTTCTCTCCGCCTTTATTTAGTTAATGGGTTTACTTTTGGTTTTCGCGTTGGTTTTGATGGGGAACGCTGCGCGTTGCACTCACCCAACCTTAAAAGCTCTTTAGACCAACCGCAAATCGTTCGGACCAAACTACGTAAAGAGTGTGAGGCCGGGAGGATATGTGGTCCTTTTATTTGCCCTCCTTTTCCAAACTTTGTTTGTTCTCCTTAAGGCATTGTTCCCAAAAAAGACCCCTCTGAATTCCGTTTAATTCAACACCTACCGTACCCTCAGGGTACCTCAGTAAACGATAACATACCGGACGCACATTCTTCGGTTCACTATGCTTCTATTTCTGATGCCATTGCGGTACTTAAAAGTTTAGGGGCTGGTTGCTTTTCGGCCAAAACCGATATTTAATCGGCTTTCAGGATTATTCCAATTCATCCGTCCGATTTTCCTTTGCTAGGCATGAAATGGGATAATCAGTTTTACTTTGACGTATGTCTTCCTATGGGACTGTCATCCTCGTGTCAAATTTTTGAAGCTTTTAGTTCTTCCTTGGAGTGGATCTCTGTGCACCGATTTGGCGCATCCGGAGTTCTTCACATTCTTGACGACTTTCTTTTTATTGCGCGTACCGAAGAGCAATGCTGCACCGATTTAAGCAATTTTCTTCGTATGTGTGATTATCTCGGCGTGCCCATTGCTCAGGAAAAAACTTGTGGACCATCTCAAGTCATACAATTTGCGGGTATCACGCACGATTCAATTAATCAGGAAGCTCGTTTGCCGGAGGATAAGCTTCAATAATGCCGCCTATAACTTGAATCGTTTTGCAAACGTCGTAAAGTTACTTTGCGAGAATTACATTCCCTAATAGGTCTATTAAATTTTACCTGTTCTGTAATCGCCCCTGGGCGTGCTTTTCTTCGCCGCCTAATTGATCTCACTATTGGGGGCAGACGCCCACATCATCCCATTAGGCTCACTAAAGAGACCAAACACGATATGGAGGTATGGCTAAAATTTCTGAGGGAATTTAATGGCCGTTCCTTTTTCTTGGATGATAAGTGGAACAGATCTCCTCCTCTCGAATTGTAAAACCGATGCGGCCGGATCAAAGGGCTATGGTGCTATCTTTGGCCCTCACTGGTTCTTCGGCTCTTTTACGGATCAGTGGCAATCCTTCAATATTACCTTTCTCGAACTATTTCCTATTGCCCTCTCATTAGTTGCGGTTACACATACCTTCTGCCCGAGGATGCGTATTTGGGGTTCTCAGATGGCTAAACGATGTATCGTGTTTGTTACTGATAACGCTGCGCTGGTCAGTATTATCAATCAACAGACATCCAAACACAAATTAGTTATGATATTGATCTGTGACTTAGTTCTAACTGCGCTCAATTATAACATTATCTTTCGTGCTCGACATATCCCAGGTCTTAATAATACCCGGCCGATTGTCTTTCACGATTTCAGATAGCACAGTTCAAGGAACTTTCACCCCAAGCAGACGAATTGCCAACAATAGTGCCCGAGATTCTTTTTCCGAAGAGATGGTCGCTAACTTAGAGAGTCTCTTGAGATCTGTATTGGCGTCAGGTTCGGGTCAGTCATACCGTAGAGCGTGGACACTATTTCGTGAATTTCACGAGAAATTTTACAAGACAAAAGCCATCCATCTACCGTTAACCACTGCGTCTTTGGCGCTTTTTATTTTTTTCTCGACGGTAGAAATCTTTTGCCTTCGACTATTCTTACTTATCTATCGGCCATTGGTTACGTCCACAAGATGAAAGGTTTGCATGACCCCACAAAGGCTTTCCTTATTAAAAAACTTTTGACCTCGCTCAGTCGTCAGAAATCGTGTGATGTCCGGTTCCGATATCTAAACCTATTTTGCATGACCTCGTAAGCTCTCTCCAGCACACCAATTCTTCGGCAGCACAGCGTATACTTTTTTCAGCCATGTTTCTCACAGCTTTCTACGGTTTCTTTCGCATCGGTGAACTAGTGGCCAGGAGCTCGTGTCGCACTACCGTAATTTCGTACGATAACACCAGATTCCTCGCATCCGGTGGGAAAATCCACTCTATTAAGATCACAATCACCCATTTCAAACATAATACAAGCAATCGCCCTTTTTGACATTCCTGGTGATGAATCTTCACCGTTTTGTCCTGTCAAATTCATACTCCGGTATTGCAATCTCCGGGGTAACAAGCCCGGGCCCCTCTTCTGCCATGCAGACAATACGCCCATTACGGTTAACCAATTTAATACCGAACTTAGGCGCTGCTTAAATTTCTGTGGTTTGAATGCTCAACGCTATAAGAGTCACAGCTTTCGCATCGGCGCGGCCTGTCTTCATTGTCTTAATTTATCTAGTAACTCTGGAAGTCTGGAAATGTGGAAATGTGGAAATATGTCTTCATTGTGTTAATTTATCTAATAACTCTAGAAGTCTGGAAATGTGGAAATGTGGAAATTTGTCTCCAATGTCTTTTTCTAATAACTCTGGAAGTGTGGAAATGTGGAAATATGTCTTCCCGGTCTTCATCTAGCAACTCTGGAGTGCGGAAATATGGAAATGTGGAAATATGTCTTCCTTGTCTTCATCTAGTAACTCTGGAAGTGTGGAAATGTGGAAATATGTCTTCCTTGTCTTCATCTAGTAACTCTGGAAGTGAGGAAATGTGGACATGCGCAAATATGTTTTCAATGTCTTTATCTAATAACTCTGGAAGTGTGGAAATGTGGAAATATGTCTTCAATGTCTTTATCTAATAACTCTGGAAGTGTGGAAATGTGGAAATATGTCTTCAATGTCTTTATCTAATAACTCTGGAATTGTGGAAATGTGGAAATGTTCCTCCACTGTCTTTATCTGTTAACACCGGAAGTGTGGAAATGTGGAGAAATGTGTCTTCATTGTCCTATAAAGACATTGAAGACATATTTCCACATTTCCACATTTCCTCACTTCCATAGTTACTAGATGACGACAAGGAAGACATATTTCCACATTTCCACACTTCCAGAGTTACTAGATGGAGACAAGGAAGACATATTTCCACATTTCCACACTTCCAGAGTTACTAGATGAAGACAAGAAAGACGTATTTCCACATTTCCACATTTCCACACTTCCAGAGTTATTAGAAAAAGACCTTGCAGACATATTTCCACATTTCCATATTTCCACACTTCCACACTTCCAGAGTTATTAGACGAAGACAAGGAAGACATATTTCCACATTTCCACAATTCCAGAGTTATTAGAGAAAGACAATGAAGACATATTTCCACATTTCCACATTTCCACACTTCCAGAGTTACTAGATAAAGACAACCAAGACACATAGAGAAAATGGAGACACATTTCCACATTTCCAAAGTTAGCAAGTAAAAGTACTCGATTCTACCGTGACAAGACATTGTATTGTAGACATATTGCATCGCCGCCTTATGTACCTGTCAATGTAAATCCCGTGGGGGAGGGGGGGAGTGCGGGCAAGGGGCGAGGATTTGATGCCTGAGACTATCCCCTGTCGGGCTTTTGATCGTGCGAAGCGACCCCAGGGTCGGTACATTTGACTTTTACCGACAGAAGCCTGGTATTAATTCAGAAGCGGTTACCAAGCTTTCTGAAAGTCCCGCCGTTGGAGAAAGGTGTGAAGTTTTCATTTGTTTTAATTGCTGTCGGAGACTGAGGCTAGTATTTGTGATTGCGTGATTGTGCAGACTTGAGTTGATGACAGAAAACCCACGTGATGGATCAAATTAGTTCGATAAGTGATTTTGTTAAATAGCCGTGAATAATATGTGTCAAGGACCGGAAATTTACCCGTAGGCTATTTGCATGCAATGTTCAGTATAAACGATAAGCGCTTGTGATTTTAAGTTGAGTCGTTGAGTTGTTGTCATTGTTCACCCTGTAAACCGGTCGTGAGATCGCGAGAGCTGTGACCTGTTTAGTTTGAACCTTGAGAGTGATTCCAAGCCATTAAACCTATCTGTGGACCTGTGAGTATAATTTGCCTTGAATTATTCCTTTTCCTTTGTGACATTTGTGGGGAATCGATTCATGGAGGCAAGCGTTTCCCACACCTGGCACCTCCGACGGGACAGCTCAAACGAGAGCAAGAACATGGATGCTTTAGAAACCAAGCTAGAGCAGCTGAAGCTAGCTGTGACGCGAACCGATTCAATAATTGCCCTGAATAATGAAGTAGCAATGGAGAGACATCTCAACGCCATTAAGGCCTTGACCATGGAAACCGACAGTTTAAAAAGGGCGGTCGAAGAACAAAAAATCGCCGCAAAAGACGACCCAGAAGAGCTTAATCAATGGAATTCCAGTGTCGATACCAACATCTTCGCAGCAGATGAAAGCGGTAAGATCCTTAAACACAACCTCGAGGAATTTCGCCAAAGAACAGAGTTGAAGAAACATGAGAAAGAACTGGACTTCGAACAAAAGATGTTCGAGGCCAAGATGAAGTTCCAGACCGAACTACAATTAGCAAAAGAGAAAGGTGAAGGAATGAAAAACAAGACCACAGATGGCACATCGGTCTCAGGCCATGAGCTACTGGCGAAACTACCGAAACTTCAAATAACTCGTTTCAACGGCACCTATGAAGATTGGCCCAGGTTTTGGAACCAATTCGTGGAAATCATTGACAAAGCCACAATGCCGGGCGTGACGAAATTTGCGTACCTAAAATCATTTCTTGACCAGAGGGTGAAACATTTAATCGAAGGATTGCCATTTTCGAGCGAAAGTTACAACAGAGCCAGGTCCATACTGCTCGATAAGTATGGGAAGGATTCAGAGATCATCAAGGCCTACACCCAACAAATATTTGACCTGCCTTTCATACCTAACCAGAACCTTCACCGAATTCACGATTTTTGTGAAAAATTGATGTTCTCAGTACAGTCTTTGAAGACGATGGGGAAATTGGAACAAGTCAATGGTTACGTCGCGATGACTTTGGACGAGTTACCTGGGATTAGAGGGGACCTAGTACGAACAGACCCATCGTGGAAAAACTGGACCTTTGACAAGTTGACAGAAGCGTTGCGACTCTGGACGCGAAGAAATCCAATCATTAAACAAGATGACAGACATCAGCAAGATGGGAGAAACCGCCGCGATGACAGGAAGAGAGATAAGCCCCCATTTAGAGTGTTCAACACGCAACAAAGAAATGGTTCACGCACGCCATCTTGCGTGTACTGCGACGCGACAAAGCATAGGTCCTTCAACTGCCCCAATGTTGTTAATGTGGCAGAAAGAAGGTCAATCCTTCTTCAAAAGAGGCTGTGCTTCAATTGTACCGGCCCTCATAGGGCTGAAAATTGTCGCCGCAAAATGGCATGCCAGAAATGCAGAAAGAAACACCACACGTCAATTTGTGACAGCGATTAAAGGTCTGAAGGACTGTTGACAGCCCATCTATGTGGTAAAACAGAAGTTTTGTATCCTGTGGTTTTAGTCAACGTTAACGGAATTAAAACCAGAGCCTTATTAGACACCGGCGCTGGAAGCTCTTACGCCTCGGCTAAGCTAATCAACGCCTTGCATATGAAACCGGCTGAAACTCAAACTAAACAAATCGAAATAATGCTCGGTTCCAAGACGACCAACGTGGAGATATACAATGTCAGCGTGACATCAATTAATGGCGATTTCAAGATGAGCGTGACAGTGTCCAAGGTCGACAAACCTGAGCTTTTGATGCTGGAAAATCCCAAGTATGAAGAGCTAATGGAGAAGTACACGCACTTGAGTGGCGTTT